GAACAGTCACTTCTGGTCTCATGCTGTACCTTTTTGTGGATGAAGAGAGCATCCATCTCCAGACAGGACTCTGGCACCTTTCATCAGCAAATTATTTTAAAGGATGAATGAGAGATTTTACATCAGAGGCTTTGCTGTCTTATTCTATCTGGTGTGGAAGATGGTCTTTGTGTTCTCAGTAAAGTTTTGCCTACTAACTGCCCCCCAACACACACACAGCCCCCCGAAATGGTAAGAACTGTCCTACCTGAGCAAGAACTTGAGCTGTTGAGGCCAGTTGGAGCTGGATTGATCAGTTCTACCCAGCACAACAGTGAAGCTCCAAATTGTAAACTTGCTAATTAAAGTTTTAGACAAGCCAGTCTGAGCTGCCAAGTTCTGAACTTCCGAATAAAGTATGTCTCAAGGCCCTCATGTTTCAGTCACCTCACTAGACCAGTGAGCAGATACTTGGCAAGAGCTGAAAGATGTGGTGGATTGTCTGTCAGTTGGACTCTTCAAATCAAGATTGTATGTCTCTCTAAAAAAAAAAAAATACAGATTCTAGGTGGACCAACTTCAAATAAAAAGATATGACCTCACCCAACCGGTGTCACTCATATCCTGGGACCAACATGGCTACCACACAGTAAAAAATACACTCAACAAGAATTTATGGGCCTGATGCAGGACCTTTTTTTGTACAATTCCCTAGCCTTAGTTATGCAGGTGATCAGACTATATGATCATTAGGGTTCCTTCTGGCCTTAACAATGAATCCCTGTTAAATGCCTCACTCTGAAAAAAAAAAAAAAAAACAGGATGAAGGAACTTAACTGTGAGCTTTGATGTGCAGTCTTGAAACACACCTATTAGGAGCCAATCTGCTGGCAGAAATGCATTCTTAAAGGGCATCTGTGAATTGCTTCTAAGATAACACATGCAGCACATTTCTAGTTAGAACAAACACCAGTTCCCAATGACAAGCTGTGGCACTCTGTACCTGAAAACAGCACCATGGAACCCCCATATTCAACGTCATATAATTATGATATACTCTGTACAAAGTATGCCTTGTGAGCTATTATTTTAAAAGTCTTGATCTGTTGAACATTAATACCCTGTTAGAGTGTATGTGCTATCATTGTATGGGAAGTTACGAAGTTTTGCTATGTGTGTGTGTTACTGAAATATGTTGGAGCCTTTCAGATACAACAATGGAGCAGCCAGACATGCTGAAGGAATTCACACTCCCAAGAACTATCCCAGGATCTGTATACAATGGAGACTTCTCAGAGATAGCACGAAGACAATGGAGACTGCTTGACTCATGTCCATAGCAAAGGGTCTTTCCAGCAAGCTGGAAGAAACTATAAAAGAGGGGAAGTGACATCATAGAATATCAGGGTTGGAAGGGACCTCAGGAGGTCATCTAGTCCAACCTGCTGCTCAAAGCAGGACCAATCCCCAGACAGATTTTTTTTTTTTTTTGCCCCAGATCCCTAAATGGCCCCCTCAAGGATTAAACTCATAACCCTGGGTTTAGCAGGCCAATGCTCAAACCACTGAGCTATCCCTCACTTGGCCTCACTTTCCCCCCACAACTCAACACCTGGAAACACATCTGGAGGACAAAGACTGACAAGGGAAAGGTGGTCCTGGGCTGAAGAGGAGTCCCAGCCTGTGTATGGAAGATCTGTAACCTGCCTGTACTGTCTATCAGGGTGAAACACTGCTTGATTCAAATCCTGTTTAGTTTATAGAACTTAGGTTGTGCACTGATTTTTATTTTCTTTGGTAACCATCTCTATCCTTTATGCTAAAATCTATCTTTCTGTAGTTAATAAACCTGTTTTATGTTTTACTTAAAACAGGGTATTTTGCTTGAAGTGCTTGGGAAACCTCAGCTCAGGACCAAAATCTGGTGCATATCCTCTCCACACTGATGGAGAGGCAGACTGGGTAATAAACTTATGCTGGTCAGGCTCCTGACCAGGGCAAGACGGTACAGGTGTGGGGTCCTGAGCTAGGGGGGAATTGGCTGGAGCCTCTCTGTTGTTGGTTCATGAGAGGCTGGGAGAAGCATTCATGTCTGTGTAAGTGCAGTACCTGGAGAGATTTGCAGCTTGTCACAGTATCACAGTGTGAGAGGGAACCTAGCTTGATGGGTCAGAGGGCTCAGCGGTACCCGTCACACAAGCATCCTAGAGCCCCTATTTATTTCTGACACACCAAAGGATTCTGATTTTAAACTTGACTTTAGCCAATGCTCTCCTGGGGCATGTATAAATTATACCTTAGATTCTCTCGTGTTACAGGTATAAAACCACAGCAGAGTCTAAACCATGCACTTACAGCATAAGATGACTGGGTGGCTCTAGGAATTGGTAATCGACTACAGACCCACTCAGCTCTAGGTCATTAGTTCAAATCCAGGGCAGGTCAATGGCTGTTCAGTTTCCACCATAAAAGTGAGTCTCAAAGGAATTCCTACTGTACACAGAAACAGAAAGGGCCCCCTTGTGGTAATCTCAGCAAGACTGAATAGGCTTGGAGAATTCTCTTTCATCGCAGGCTGGCAGGGAGCAAGACTTACACTGTCAGTGCTGTAACCAGTTCTGTGGTGAGGTTCTCGGACAGCAGGGCTACCAAAACTAGCACCTCTCAGCAATGCTAAATTCACACAAAAAGTTAAAAATCAAATCTCATAATTTGAGAAGAACTGTAGCCAGTTGCCTTTAAACTATGACTTTTGGGGTTTATGAGATAATCAAATGTTAATGCAATCTAATATCCTTGAGTCTCTAAACAGCCACATTTAAGTCTACAATGATGCTTCCTCATTCTCCCAACATAATTAATTTCAACTGTCTTCTTAGAAGCAAAGAGCAGCCAGCATATTTTGTAGTAGCTTTCCTGAACAGAAGTGATTTTGACATCCACTCACCTTTTTACTAAAGAATCTATTTGTGCCTCAACAGTTCAGAATGATTTTCTATCAGTTGAGTCAAAGCTGTATTTTAGCCTGGTCCCTGAGCAGCACAACTGCTTTTATCTGAAAGCTATCTTGTACCTACAAGCAATATTTTAATGCATATCATGGCATTTTAGTAGAAGCATTTCATCTTTATTCTGATCAGAAAGGGGGGCGAAATCAATCTTAACTCCTGATAAAATTTTATTTAAGAAAGTGGAAGACATCTTCAAGATTTAACGAGGGATTAAATGGCATACTGTACATACTTCATAGGAGTCTTTACATGCCTGTGCTCCCAGCTGCAGTGTACAGAAGGAAAACCTTCACCAAAATAACCTTAAAGGAAAAAGCATCTTGCATCCTTAAAACAAACTTTCTTAGGTAACTATGCTATTGTGATGTTTCAAACTCCTGTTAGATAAAGAACCCTGTTTGCCTTCAGATTTATGTCTGGTTCTTTTGGAAATGATGCTCCCCAGTGAATGGTCTTGGGAGGCTTTTTCCTGTCTGAGCAAACTCAGTTCAAACCTACAATCTATGCAGTCATTTCATTTTTTTATTATGTGCATCACCTTAGCAGGTCTCAATGACAATACCATAATCTCTTACATGAGAACTGTACAGTGCCCCGTAGTTGCAGGATCATTTAACCAGCTTCAGACCGCAAAGAAACCTGAAAGGATGTTCTGACTGAATGTGAATACAACTGACATTAAAAAAAAAAAAAAAAAAAATCAACTATGATCCATTTATATAGCGCCACTTCATCCTATCACTGCACAAAACATGAGCCTCACATAAACAACAGCACTGTATGGCTTATCAGGATTCCTTCTCTTCAGCTAGTTACAGCACATTAGGTGTAACCCTTAAAAATGTGTATAAAGTGGAATGTTAGAAACTTTTTGCATAAATTATATGCCAAAATTAAACTTTCTCTCTCACACACACACACACACAAAAACCCAGCCTAATTCTTATCAGGCTTTGATTTTGGCAGGTCTTGGTTTCTGGATGCCATTTTAAAAAAAACTATTTTCAACTATGAGGCACCAATAATTTAAACCAGGAATTGTACAAAGGGGGAAATGAAATGCCTGAGAGAATTCTGCTAAGAGAGTTTTATTTTAGCCATCACATATGATCAAGTTACCAATTACAAGGAGCCTTATTCAGTGTAAAATCAACTCTGACTTGCTCTGTAAAGTGACTCACTGAATAAGAAGCATTCTCACTTATCAGCAGGTGTTTGTAATGTTAAGGTTGGATCTCATTTCTCTTCAGAGAGAGAGAGAGAGAGAGAGTGTTAAAACACTGGCACAGCAACACAAGGCACATCTGACAATGACAATGCAATTTATCAAGAACTAGGAAAAAATCATGAAACTGTTAGAGTCTGTTCATCCCATATTATTTATCTTCTGGCTGATGCTTAGAAAATGTTAAGACGCTGAGGCAGTCAAACACTAATGCAAACATAATTAAAAAATTAGGTGCTGTTTGTCCCCTTATTAGTTGAGTCTATATCTCTATTTATAGCAGACACTGTATCTCCTAGACAGCATACAAAGTCAAGATTTCTCTCTTCATCATCTGTTTTCTCAAGTTTAACTCCTATGCATTATTTTAATAGCATGGGAATCAGGACATCAAGGAAACAACAAATATTAAAACCCACCCAAGTGCTTCTTTCATAGCACCAACAACCAGAGCTTTCTACAACTTTTTTTAAAAATTAACTAACCCTCTAGATAAACATAGGGCCAAGAAATCCAGACATTTTTGTAAAGGGAAGTAAGTACATGCCAGGGCTCCCTCCCCGAGCTTTGACTTTCACTGGCCACCATGTACCAGCTCTAGGGCTCTGAACCAGAAGAAGAGGTAGCGAGTCCCCGACACACCATTCCCAGGGGATAACACCTTGCAGAGCTGGGCAGCGCTGTCACCCACCATCCAAACCCCGCAACATCAGCGCTTCCCTTCCACGCCAGGTAATGTCTGAGCAGCCCAGGCAGGTCTGGAGGGGGGAAAGAGAGGGAATTACCTTGGAAGAGGTGGAGGCGCTGGCCCCGCAGTGATCCGGGGTGGGCAGGCGGGTTCCCCAGCTCTCTGCCCCCGGCCAAGCACGAGTCGCAGCTGCCCAGGGGCCCCTCGGTGGGGTGGGGGGCGCCCAGCGGCTCAGTCCCGCAGGCGGGTCTCTCTCCGGCCGCCCGCCCGCCGGTCGGTAGGAAGAAGAACAAATCACATCCAGTTCCCCCCCAAAGGGAATCCAGAGCCCGGTGTAAATCCGCCCAGCCCCCTGCAAGCGATGGGTCCCCGAGCCCCCAGGTCACTGCGCCCGGCGCGGGCCGGCAGGGCTGAGGCAGCGCCCTTGGCCGAGTCCAGCGGGCGGGTCTGCGGGGCTCAGCCCGGCGGGCGGCGAGCTACGGAGCCGGCTGGAAAGGGGGCGCCCCCCGGCCTGGCTCCGGGACCCCCTTCACCGCGCCTGGCGGGCCCGGCTCGGCGGCTGCTCCGCGGGGGACCCGGCCCCGCTGCTGCTGCCAAGCTCGGGGTGGCTAGGGCCGGCTCGGGACCCCGGCGCGGGGCGGCTCCCGCCCGGTAACGCGGCGAGGCGGCGGCGGCTGCATGGCGGGTGCGCCAGGCTCAGTCAGGGCAGGGCGCGCGGGGCTGCGGCTCCATCCCCGGCCCCGCTCCTGCCGCCGGAGGTGCCCGGCCGCCCCTGCTCGGCGAGCCCCGGAACAGGCGGCGGCTGAGGACGCAGCCCGCCTGGCTCAGGGAGGCTGGAGAGGCGGGCGCGCCCTCATGCCTGGAGGAGCCGAGCAAGCGCGGTAGCGGCCGGGCTGCCGCCCCCTCCCCTCGCAGATCCCTACTGGGGGGGGACGGGGCTGCTGCGGCTGCTCTCGCCCGGCGCGGGGGGCGGGAAGGCGGGAGAGGAGGTGACTGGAGAGCAGTGGCTGCGGGGGAGAAGCGGCGGGGCGGGGATGGGGGTTGGTTCAGCGGGACTGAGGGGTGAGCATGGTGGTATATAAAATAAGGAGTAGTCTAGAGCAGCGGGGTTCGTCCCTTTTCACTGGCAGACTCCTAACAAATGTCGAATAGAGGCGCCAGGTGCAGACAATTTGGAAATCTTAGTCCCCCTCAGGGGTCCCAGGACCACCGGTTTGAAACCACTGGGCTAGAGCAGGGAGAGCGGGAGCTTCTATCTCCCCGCTCCAGAAGAAGAGGAGATTCAGTTGCATTGGGAAGTGGCAAATTCAGAACAGATAGAGGAGGGAAATATGTTTTCACACAAGGTGCGACTAGCCTTTGGAACTCACTTCTCCTTGCAGGATGTCCCGCTGGCTAAGAGAGATGAGACATCTATGTGGTTAACAAGACTTTCCAGAGTTATAAATAGTTAATACTAACAGAGTATAGGACAAAAACAAGGAGTTGTCTGGTGGCACCTTAAAGACTAAGAAATTTATTTGGGCATAAGCTTTTCTGGGTAAAAAACCCACTTCTTCAGATGCATGGAGTGAAAATTACAGATGCAGGCATTATAGGACAGGAGATAAACCCTCATGTTTTAAAGGCAATCTCTATTAGTGGTAAGGGTAGGACCATCATGGGAGGTTTTTATTGCCTCCCATCTATATACTGTGGGGGTTCTTGCACTGTCCTCTTAAACATCTGGACATCGTCAGAGACAGGGCATGTGTCTAGTCCATTATGGCAATTCCCACCCTTCTACCTGGAGAGCAAGGGGTGGGAGAGCACATGGGTCTGTGAGGGGTTAAAGCGACAGCATGTTTAATCTAACTTTACATTTATTTTCCCCATTCCTGGGGAACCTCAGAGCCCTCTCCTGCATTTATTCAATGCAGTTAGTGGAGTATAGGACACTTGGTCGCTCCGGCCCATTGCTGCACATGTCAACCTGCCTGCACAGCTATTCCCTATTATTGTGGGCCCAAACATTCAGAAATGGCTGTTATTTGGGGTGCCCCGGTGTCTGGGTGCTCAAGTTGGGACACTTTAAAGGTGCCTCATTTTTCCAGGGCTGCTAAGCATCAGCAGCACCAATGAATTCAGCTGTGGTTGTTTTGGACTTCTGAAAATCAGGCCCCTTTAAAGTGCCTCAAGTTGGGCCCCCAGAAACCACAGCACCCCAAATCACTAGTTCTACCTCAGAGTTTTAGCCATAGTGCACAAGGGGAGGTGCTAGAAGCGCTACTGCGTGTTCTGCAGGCTGCCTGAGGGGAAGGCCTCCCTTCCCATGCCCACTGCAGCAATCTGAAACAGGGCAGGCCTACCTGGCCAAAGCCCAGAGAATTGATTAAGGGGTGAGCAAATAGAGCAGGCCCTACGCAGCTATTGGCCAGACGACTGGGAGGAAATCCCACCCCTCACTCCCTGCTCTTGGTTGGAGAAAGGGCATGTACTTCTAGAGTAGGAGCTTAGCACTTTTGAAGTGGGGCTGGGGGCTGGCTGTAGGCCACTTTATCCACCAGTGGGCATAGAAGTAGGATTGGAAAGTGGTGACCCATGGTTGAGGCTGGAGCAAGCAGGCCCAAAGGTAGCTTGGGCATGGGGCTAGGGATAGGCCTAGGGAGAAGCAGCATAGGTGGCTGTAGCCAGGCTGGGAAAGTGGCCCAGGCCCTGCCTGTGAGTCTTGACTGGAATGGTAGCCATGGCAACGAAGGCCTGTGATACAGTAGAGACCCTGAGCTCCTGTTGCACCCAAGCACCAGGGATCACCATGAGAGGTAAGAGATACCTGTAATAGGCCTACAGGACTGAGGCTGACATGGTGCAATATGAACTCATAATGGGTCAGTGGTAGTACTCTTAAGGACTGGGGGCTCCATGCATTGTACTGTTGAGGTGGTGCTGTGTGTGTTGCTGAAAGGTCCCTCTTACTAATCATGGGCTCTGTCCTTGCCCAGGTAAAGTTGCTGGTATTATATCTGTGGTAAATTCCTGCCTCCCCAAAACTCGTGGGAGGGAGCCAAGCACCTTGGGCCTAGCAGGAAGCAAGTGGGGCTCTAAATGAGGGGATCTCAAACTGGGCAGGCATGACCCCTCAGGGGGTCACGAGGTTATTATGTGGGGGGTTGGGAGCCATCAGCTTCCACCCCCAAGCCATGCTTCGCCGCCAGTGTTTATAATAGTGTTAAATATTTTTTTAAGTGTTTTTAATTTATATGGGGAGGGTCTCACTCAGAGGTTTGCTGTGTGAAAGGGGTCACCAATGCAAAAGTTTGAGAACCGCTGCTCTAACCCCTCTTGGGCATGTGGTTTGGGGGCATTTGGGGACCACACAACAAACTGAGGTGCCCTCCCCCCCATGCTGATCAGGTCCTACTGCTCCATTTTCCAAAGGGCCTGAGCTCTCAAGGAGCTGAGCACCTTACATACATAAACCACGGCAGTATTGCCAATTTCAGGCAGTGCAAAATCATGTCAGGCTCCCAAAAATTATGAGATTTTTGTTTTAAAAAAATGCACATTGGCTTATTTTTATTTACCTTCTGGCATTTGAAGCTTATGGGTTTGCTCCAGTCATGTTTTCAAGCTTTTCTCCACAACCACAAGGATTAGACACTTAGTTTGTAAAATTAAAGCTGAGATTCTCACCTAACAACATGACTCCGGGAGCTGGGGCTTTAAGGAAAATAGTAAATATTGCAAGACTCATGATGAAGTTACAAGACTTGGCAACAGTGCAGTGGCAATGTGTGCATGTTATACTCACAGATCCAAGTGATGCTGGAACACTAATTTAATTACACTTTTTTGTAAAAATTGGAATACACAGTCCCCCATGGAGGTGTCTGCAGAAAGGTCAAACCTACGCTGTGACCATGCCCTGCTCACCAGATTGCTGTATGCTGCTGACCTCTCTGTCAAGATGAAGGCTTAAAGAGATGGAACCGGGATATGCAATCCTGGCATTATTCCAACCAATTCAGTGTAAAGTAAAACACTTTTTCTTCAAAAATATAAGCTATGTTTATGCTAAGAGTCCAAGGCATTGATTTCTGAATGCTTGGAGCTGGCAGTACTGCAGTGGTTTATATATGTTCCTCTTACATCCTATTAATTTCTTCTATACAGGTTTCTTTGTCAGTCTCCTTTGTGAATCAGTGGAGATATGCATTGAAGTCTCTCTCTTTCTATTGACTCTGACACGCATTTTGGCTGCAGATTTTTCTCTTCCTTGAGTTATTCTTATACATGTTGTATTTCTGTTGTGGTGCTTTTTTGATTGTTTCCTACTTGTAACATTAATTGTGCTTCATTTTGTCAATGTCAGAATTGCCCCTTTAATTCCATCAATCGCAGTCACGCTGTGGGTGAATTATTACATTCCCTTATTCCTTCCATTTTTTGTGTCAAAGTCATTTAATTTGTTTAATTAATTTTTATGTATGTTAAAGAATAAAAATGTGGCACAATGACATTCTGTCATTCTGTGACAGCACAGAGTGAATAGAGGAAAGGCAAGATGCTGAATAGACTTGGACATGGAAGATTGCTGGGCTGTGAGAGGTGAAATGCTGTTGCTGTATTACTACCCTCTGAACCACAGTCTGATAATATCAACTATAGTAAATAGCTAAATATATGGAGATATACCTATCTCATAGAACTGGAAGGGACTTCGAAAGGTCATTGAGTCCAGCCCCCTGCCTTTACTAGCAGGACCAAGTACTGATTTTTGCCCCAGATCCCTAAGTGGCCCCCTCAAGGATTGAGCTCACAACCCTGGGTTTAACAGGCCAATGCTCAAACCACTGAGCTATCCCTCCGCCCCCATTCACATCTCTGAGCAGGCTGAAACAGGGCAGGTACAATATTTACAACTGGTAACGCCTTGCCACTCAGGATTAGAAATAGTCATGTGCTGGCACATCCCAGTTGAGGGGGGACACCTTCCAGGTAGAAATGCTGCAGCTAATGACTCTAATTCTGTTGTGTATGCATGATGTTAAATACTTGTACAGGGAATATGGCTTTAGCCTGAGCTGAGAAGGCCCCAGACAGGTGTGGAAGAAAATTGGGTCTGAGGTTTCTTCTATTTGAAGAAGAGCTAATGCGATCCCAGGATGCATAAACGGGAATCTTGAGTAGGAGTCAAGAGGTTTTTGGCACTGGTGTGATGGCTGCTGGAATACTGTGTCCACTTCTGATACCTGTAACTCAAGAAGGATGTTGATAAATTGGTGAGGGTCCTTGCTGGCCTTGGAATCTATGAATGAATGAAGTTTGAGTATGTT